GGGGGGGGGGTGTCTACCCCTTCACAATTTAAATAAATAAGTGCAATTTGCTATTGAGAGATGTCTCTAGCAGGAAAGGGGGAAAAAGCAACAGAGATCAACTAAATATTGGTATTAGTTCTTTCTCACAAACAAAACACTCAAATAAATGTAAATCCCCATCTTCCTTGCCTCTACTCCCTGTCCAATTTTTCCTTAATGTACCTCAGATTGCCCTTACTTTTGAACAAATCCAACAGCCTCCATTCCAATAGTCAGTTCTCACTGTCTTTCCCCACTGGACCACGTGAAATTTTCAGCAAACGTGACTCATTTATGGGCATCGTGTCAAACTACTCCTGAAACTATAAGGGGGCTGAGGACTAACAGAATTCTAAAGCTTGAACACTTTCACAACCACCCATCATTTTGACTCTGAAGTACTGAATCACTTTCAGAGCCAATACTTACTAACAAACTGTTTATATTTTTCCTTACAAATTGTTCTCCACCATCCCACCCTCTCCCAGTTTTAGTTTGGCAATGTGCTAATCGCAAGTGGCTATCTGCAGAGGAGACAAAGATGGAGACAAAGAACGAGAGAGCAAAGAAAAATGCCCTGTGCACCCAGCTTAAAAAACACATGGTTCTATTCTGAAAACAAAACATGTGTCTACTCTACTTGTAGTTATCCAAGTTATTTCTTCACCTTGTTACATGAAAACACAATATAAGACACAACACAAACAAAATTACAAATTCCCAGAAATAAATTGCTCACTGTTAATACATCACTAAATAAAGTTTTACAAACAACCTAAATAGCAACTATTGAGAAATATTTAGTCAAAAGATCTTCAGTAAGATGTCACTAGCATGAACCAACAAACTGCAACCCCCCATATCCTTTCGGACCCTACAAAGTACCTGATGGAGAGAGGTGGGGCCTGCTGCACAAGGAAAACAAATGCTTCATTCACATTACCAAGACATTTACTTATGGCTCTCTCGACTGCCACACTCCACCTGGTGGCAGGAGATGCCTGAATTAGCCATTATACAGGAGATTTCACAGAGCACTTTCTAGATGTCCTTGGAAAAAAGCAAGATGGTCTTTTCTTGCCTTTACAGAATAAATTCCATGCATGCTTTTCTCATACAACTGTAAGTCAATATCTAATAAGGATTACCATAAAGAAAGGCTAATACTCAGAACAGAAGACCTACATTTAGAGCAATCTAACTTAGACTCATTCACTGCACAACACATTGAATACCATCTCAAGCTTTTAAAACAGGTAACAAGGCACTTACAGCAGCTACACGAATCTTTATTACATACCCCCACTAACTTTCTTTCCCCTTTCCCCCTCTGGGTAAACAAGAGCTTAATTAACACAGTTAGCCAACTGCCACGTTGCTTTTAGATATTTGCCAGTATCATATACCCATGGGATATCTAGGGACTGATTTCAACCAAAAATAAAAATAGATAAACAGAGCTCAAACAAAATTAAAATTGAGTCTGGCTGCCCACACTTATTTTCACACATGAGGAAAAATAGCAGTTCTCTTAGAAGCCTCAAGCAGACATATCTTTAGAACACAATGTTAAAAATACGCACCCCCCTGCCCCCCCTCTTCCCTTACCTGTTTCTCACTCAAAGCTGTGATTTTGGCTTGGAGTTCATGAAGCTGTTTCTTTAGATCAGCATTCTGATTGGAAAGAAAAAATATCTGTGAGAAAGATATTTCATTTGTTAACAGAATAGTAGCGAGAAGACATTATGTATACTGTATTACAAATGGTGGAGCCAACTTACAGTTAGCCAATCAAATCTGCCAAGCATCAAACCACTTAGTCACATCACCATCTAACGTACAGATCCTAAACACAGACCTGTTGCTCCTGGCCACAGAATAAGGAGCCCTGGAGCAGCTATGGCTAAGTGCCCAGTTCAAACCCCCAAGTGGCTCCACAGGAGGAAAGCCCTGGTGATCGGCTCTCCTAAAGAATTCAACCTAAGAAATCTGAGTGGGAAAGCAGCGCTACTCTGCCCTATAGTACGCTAGGAGTCAGAATCCAAACTGTAAGAACAAAGGCAGGTTCTGTGCAATTTAAGAAGTTTTATTTGTTAGCATTTACAGTATAGTAATACCTGTCTACCAGAATCTTATTCGCCTTTACACAAAGTATCAGTTGACAGAAAACCTAAAGCTCCACTAATCAGACAAAAGCAGGAAATGGAGGTTTTAAGTATGCACACACTGCATGCTTAGCGGCATTAACAACAAAGATAAGAGGTTTGTCTGCACTTGGCCTCTCCCTTATTTAGTAGAGTAGGGTACATTTGTTATTTTAGCCTAGATCTGAAAAGCTGTCAGTGCTGCTAGTACTTTAGCACTACATCATTCACATTAGCACACTGACTACCAGGACATTTTCTCAGTTCTGAAATTCTAGGAATCAAAAAAGAATACTATTTTAGATGAGATACACTGGGCATGCTTGCCTTTTATTCAACTGGGGCGGGGGAGAGGAGGGAAAATCCCAAACTGAACATTTTAAATGCTCAACGTGCAGCAGGCCAGCCCCTTGGCAGACTGAACACCATCTCCAATGAGAGAACGAGTTTCTCCAGATCCCTGCACCGGCCACTCTTTCAATTCACCATAGACTGGTCTCTTGTGCTGGGATGGGGCACTTGCCCTTCCTCCTCTGAGTTTCATCTTTATTGCGTCCCATGTGATCCCCTTGGTCCTTTTCATGGCCTCTCTAATGAGTCCACCAAGGAGCCTTGGTGGTGCAGTGCTTAAGCACTCAGCTACTTGACAAAAAGTTGGCGGCTTGAACTCCTGAAGGAAGACAGACTGGACAGTCTGCTCTCCCAAAGACAACAGCCGTGAAAAGCCACAGAGGCCGTCCTACTCTAGCTACAGGGCTGTGACGAGGCGGAATCCCTCGGTGTCGGTGGTACACAAGTGAGTGTGCCCATCTGCATCCTGCCCCCTCAGTTTCACAGGGTCAGACTATTCTGCTACAGGCACCAGCACGTCAGAAGTCTGGTGTTTGCTCCTGGTATCTTAGTTGCCAGCGGTGTGGGTGACCAAATCAGATGTGAAAGAATCTGTTCATCTAAGTCTTGACTGACACTGTAATAGAAAATAAAACAATCAAACAGGAAAAGTTCACATGACAGCTGGGCGGGCTGATGGGAGCGAGTGCTGGCATCATGCAGAATCAGTGAACTGTGTTGAACACAAGGGTTAGGCACCGTGCACTAGGTATGTAGAGCTGAGTGTTAGCCCCATTTCAAAAACCTTATCCCTCAGTACCATTCTTCAACCCCAGGATTTATCTTCCTTTACTCCACAATGAAGCAGGTATAGCAGCTTCAAAGGCAAGGGTTTCAAGGCTGTGATTTTCCAGAAACAGAAGACCAGGCCTTTCTATCGCTGCACCTCTGAGTGAGTCTGCATCACCAACCTTTCAGTTAGTAGTTAACACGCAACCATTTGTACCACCAAGGAAGGAAATGTGCATGTCCACATTCAAATACACATACATTTATTGACTTACTAATTGATGAGCACTCATCTAGGAATCTAGGGTTTTATGAGCAGCTTATGAATAGATTAATTCAAGGGAACAATCTGAGCAAGTCTGGTAAGTATTTTTCACACTTATAAGCCATTGTCTAGTGGCTACAAAAGAGATACTGCCTGAACAGTAAACATAATTATCTGAAGACAATATATTTTTTTCCCGGTACATTCCTACTAAGAAGGAGAAAAATAAAACACCTAAATCAAACTCCTAGGAGAACTGAAAGAGAAGTTAGCATTTGCTGGATTGTTATATAAGGTATTTTTTTATACTCCCTTTTTTTTATACTCCTTTTTAAGGGCTGCTTCAAAAATAAAATTTTCAAAACGCGTTTTAAAAACTCTTCTAAAATTCTTACTCTGGACATCGTGCGGGATTCCATAATTAAATGTTCTGTTCTATAAATTCTGAGCAAATGGGAATGGTTCTGGGGCACTTTCAATCATTCTAAGGCTACAGAAAGCTTGATAAACTGATTCTGAGTAAGAAGATTCATAGAAATGGAATTTAAGCTTTATGACCCAAAACCCATCACCACTGAGTTGATTTTGACTCACAGCAACCCTGTATGGGTTTCTGAAGGTGTGAATCCTTACAAGAGCAAGTAAGCCTCGACTTTCTCCTGCCAAACCACTGCTGGGTTTGAACCGTCGACCTTCAAGTTAGAAGTTCAACATTTATATGAAGGATATTAAAACTCTCATGTTTTTCAAAACAAGTAAACACAAAATCAAAATAGCAGTACCAAATATAAAATGATAGCTATATTGCAATAGAATGACTGGATTTTTCTAAACTCTAAAAACATGAAGACCAATGTGCTAAGAATAATAGTTATTAGGAATAAGATAGTTCTTTTGAACTTAAATATAGTCTGCATTTTAGTATTACATTTTAAATGATTTTAATGGAATAATTAAGTAAACAAAAATAGTACATTACCTGTGGGTCCTGCTTCATTTGAGCAACCAGTTTCTGGTAATAAATAGAGAGAGAGAGAGACATTAGTCTTACATATTAACTCACTACATGTCTAGCCAGGTTTGGCCCCATATATCCAACATTTAAAATCCACACAAAAATGCGCAATCATGCAATCAGAAGAGACCAAAAGTTTCTGTGATCTGCATAAGGATAATTAGACGACTTCTTTATAGAAAAACATGGAAAAAATGTTCCATTGTCATTTTATTTCCACCACCACCACCACCAACAATCATTTCATATTTGAAATGAAAAGGTGCTTTAGAATAAATCTAGGGGTTGGGGTTTTGGAAGCGTAATTTAAGTAAGCTGGATGCTCCAAAAGTGAAGCACCCCTTTAAAATGCTGTTATTTGCCTAGAGTTCCAGACAAGGCCTAAGGAGCCGCTGCTCACCTTTGAGTGCAGCTAAGAACAGACTTGGCAAGTCTGCTGGCTTGGGCCTAACCACAGAAGGAGTCCGGTGTTAAGATTTGACTTTGCCATCGTCTTAATCTGCAGGCAAAGGGGGTGGATGAATGTTCTTAGGGAAGCATGAGGGCATGGAGTTTCAACAAGGACACTGCCTACCTGGGCTATCCTGGCGAAATAATACTGAAGGGCTTGCTCACACAGAAGCCAGACCAATGAAAAACACAGACAAAGACATTCTGTTTGGCCCAGGGCATCTCCTCAATATCAACACTGCCCAATCCTAACAATAACTACAGCCAGGGAAATTTGACCGATTAAAAAAAAAAAATAGAAGGCTAATTCTTAAAGCTATTAGAAATTAGTTGTTCTCCAAGTGACTTTTTCATTTAACTCAAAAGTCTGCCACCCCCATTAGGTGACAACGTGCTTTAAAAAATTTAAATCACATATGGTCCTACTCATCAATACTTGCCCTCATGAAGAGATCAATGAAGATAAGGTGTTATACCAAAGAGTGGTGAAGAAACCAGATGGTGCCCAACTATCAGAAAGGTTAGTGTGTGGGGGTCTTCAAGCCATGTTTTAAAATAAGCAGCCATCTAAGTGGGGTGTCAATGAAGTCCACATGGAGAAAGCACACCAGCCGGTGTGATCCAAGGATTGTAAATAATAAAATCCAAATACGAAGAAGGAAACAGTATCAGAGTTTTAACTCTGAATACCCTGTTTGCAGAAGGCTATGGATGCCCGTGGAAGCTCCAAACCAATTTGCAGAGTCCCCACAGGGATTACGCCTCCGCCTCCAGTGACCCGCTCTGACCACAGTCCAGGGAGGGGAACAGCCCTGCTATCAGCAGAGAGCACTGTAAAGTCGACTGTGGCAGATTTAGTTAGGTAAAAATGTAATAACTTATTAGAGCTCCCCTTTGACCCATTTTAAAGTTGTTTCATTAGTAATGTTTTCAGCTTTATTTTCAATTGGTTTGGTTTGTCATTGTTGGTTGGATTTTCTTCATTTGCTTCCCGTTTGTGTTTTGTATGATTTTTCTGTATTTTAAATCCAGAACAGGTAAATCTAAAGAGTTAACAACTGGATTAATAACTACCTAGCGGCATGACAGGATAGGCTGGGGGAAATGGGGAGCTAACAACAATGAGTTTGAGAAGGAAATGAAATTGATTCTGGTGACGATTATACAATTCTGCTTAATATGAATGAACAATTAAATTGTATAATATGTGAATTATATACTAATAAAGCCATTTCTTTAAAAAATTTAAGTTATAATGGATTAAAATCTTTATATATGTAAACACTCATCTGCCTTCTTAATAGAAAAAAAAGTCAGGTTCTATTGATACTTAGAGACATGATCACTATCAATTAATATAATGTGCTAAAATACAATAAGGTCTTTATAATCTAAAAGCCTCAAACTGTTGTAGAAAATTCCTTTGTATGCATGTTAGTTTTTTCAGTCTACTGACAAGCAATCAGCTAACAAATCTTAATGCCGAGCAATCAACTAACAAATCTTGCTACTATTATGCCTCCCTCTAACAGCCCTGGAACCCCAACTTAAATTTGCTGCTTCTCATCTGCCATGCAATACACTTAGTGGACTAATTCCAAGAAGTAGGAGTAGGTTGTGAGTAACAGCCTTAAGAAATCCCTTAGTAAAACGTGTCATCTTTAGGGAATGACTTACGGCATTTATTCTGACTGGTCAACATTTTTTACTTCCTGGTGCTCAGGCACATCCTGCATTACTGAGGTTGTCTTCAAATACAGGAGGTGAATGTGACTGTATATTCTACTCCATATCTGCACTAGTGGATCTTCTATCCTGGCCTTAATCTACAAAATCATAATAATACACATTCCAAGAATTCAGTGGATTTGAAGCACAAGAGTTTACACATGCACACACCTACTGATGCAGCCTAAAGGCTAGTTAGCCACATTCTTTTAAAAAGCTTGGTTTCCTGTTTTGACCTAGCTATGACAGTTTGTACTATCCTAAAGCTACCTTAAAGGATCTTCTTCCCTTTTTAATTTTTAAATTCACTGGAATTTAAAAATAGATTGATGACAACAAAAACTCTCCACCTCTGGACTGAATAAACAAACTTCCTTTTCTATCCATACACTATATTTTAGACAATCAGTGTAGCACAGGACAAGTGGAGAAAATATTATACACCATCCAAATCCCTTAGGGACTTTATGCTGTCATTGTGTCAAAGTTAGTTGCTTTCTTGTAAGAAATTAGTAACTTTTCTTAAGGATATACTTTATACCAAGGATCAGCAAGCTATTTCCCATTGGCCAAAACCAGCCAGCTACCTGGTTTTGTAAGTAAGGTTTTACTGTATCACAGCACACCCATATTATGTCCATGGTGGCTTTGTCCCTATGATAGCAGAGCCAAGTTGTGACAAAGACACTTCTTCCTTCCTTTTCAAAATCATTTTCTTGGGGGCTCAAACAACTTACCACAATCCATCCATCCATCCATGTGTCAAGCACATTTGTATAATTGTTGCCATCCTCCTCCTCAAAACATGTGCTTTCTACTTGAGCCTTTGGTATCAGCTCCTCACTTTTTCCCCTCCCTCCCCATCCCCCGTCGCTCACAAACCCTTAATAATTTATAATTAGTATTTTCTCATGTCTTACACTGTCCGACGTCTCCCTTCACCCACTTTTCTGTTGTCCACCCCCCAGGGAGGGGGTTATGTGTAGATCCTTGTGATTGGTTCCCCCTTTCTACCTCACCTTCCCCTACCCCTCCTGATGTCGCTACTCTCATTGGTCCTGAGGGGTTATCTGTCCTGAATTCCCTGTGTTCCCAGCTCTTATCTGTACCAATGTACATCCTCTGGTCTAGCTGGATTTGTAAGGTAGAATTGAGATCATGATAGTGCGGGGTGCGGGGGGGAGAAGCATGAAAGACCTAGAGGAAAGTTGTATGTTTCATTGTTGCTGCACTGCACCCTGACTGGCTCATCTCCTCCCTGCGGCCCTTCTGTGAGGGGATGTCCAGTTGCCTACAGATAGGCTTTGGGTCCCCACTCCACACTCCCCCTCATTCACAATGATATGGTTTTTTGTTCTTTGATGCCCAAGACCTGAAACCTTCGACACCTCGTGATCACACAGGCTGGTGAGCTTCTTCCATGTGGGCTTTGTTGCTTCTCAGCTAGATGGCCGCTTGTTTACCTTCAAGCCTTTAAGACTCCAGATGCTATATCTTTTGATCGCCGGGCACCATCAGCTTTCTTCACATTTGCTTATGCACACGTTTGTCTTCGTTAAGTCATGTACGGAAGGTGAGCATCACAGAACTCCAGTTTAATAGAACAAAGTGCTCTTGCATTGAGGGAGTACTTGAGTAGTCCCAATGTCCATCTACCTTAATACTAAACCTACAAATATATGTACATAGATCTGTTTCCCCATTGTCACATATAAATATATTTACATATGTACATGCCTGTATTTCAGCGGTTCTCAATCTGTGGGTCGTGACCCCTTTGGGGGTCAAACGACCCTTTCACAGGGGTTGCCTGATTAATAACAGTAGCAAAATTACAGTTATGAAGTAGCAACTAAAATAATTTTATGGTTAGGAGGTCACAACATGGGGAACTATATGAAAAGTTCACGGCATTAGGAAGGTTAAGAACCACTGCTGTATTTAGACCTCTATAAATGCCCTTTGCCTCCTAGTTCTCTCCTCTATTTCCTTTTACTTTCCTCTTCTCCCACTATCATGTACGGCCTTCATTCGGGTTTCAGTAATTCCTCTTGGTTACATTGCCCTTGATCAAGCTCTACCAGGTCTCCTACACCCTCCTTGCCATCGATTTTGGATCACTTGTTGTTCCCTTGTCCCTGGGTTTGTTAACACCCACTTCCTAACAAAGACACTTTTTACAAAAAAGCTTACCAACTTCTGAAAGTTTAAATGTGCCTTTCATTTAATCTCTCTAGGAATAATCAAAGATGGGAGGGCACAGGGGGATTCAACCAGAAAGATGAGCTGTTCATCGTAAGTCACTATTATCCAAGCATTTAATAAGCATCAACCATTGATACTTTCCTAGCCACCTTCCGTGCACACACAAACACAACTGAAACAACAAAAATACACCTCTACTCTAGCAATGCCAAGTGTTTCATAATACACTTTTCAGGCTACCAGTCTTTTAAGAAAGTCTTAAGTGAGACTTGCTCACTTGTGAGGATAAACGGAAAGAAAATCATCTCTGCCATCTCAAAATTTCTTGAAAGGAAGAAAAGCTCCAATAATCACATTCAATAGCCATTAAATCTTTGATCCACACAAATTTCAGGTGATTACTGTGTCCTAGAAATTCACTCCAGGAGAGAATGTTCAGATTTGAACAGTGAACTTAATTCTCAGTCATTTGCCATTCAGCCACATTGCGTATTCGATGTACTTCCATGGTAAAATACTAATACCTTTATCCAGCAAAAAAAAGGATAGGCTTGCTTTTATAAACAATCTTTAAAACGTTCCTCAGTTAATGTCAGAAGCAAGGCTAAATAGATGATATGTCCACCACTTATTATATTATGTACCATGGTAGTCCCCAGGTTCTGAACAAGATCCACTTGTACACCTGTGTCTTTTACATATTTGTAGAATATTGGGAGCAGGTGCATATTGTTCTTATTTAGCCTTACTTTTGTACAAGAAAAGGCTGAACGCCGTTCCAAAGATTAGAAGTTGCACATGCAGCAAAGGAAGGTGGCTATGAGGAAGACTTTGCTGTTAGTAGGGCTGACTCAATCATTTCAAAGCGAAGGCAAATTTACGTAACATAAAAGGGCCAGTCAGTATGAGTTGTCTGGTAGCCATGGGATTGCCCGTACTGGACTTTTAAAGTCACTATGAAAACAAAGCACGCTGCACATAAAGGCGCCAACCTGCAGAAGGCAAAACTAAGGTGCTACTGAGAACGTTTCACAAACGATCCAAGGCAGCAGCAGGAAGTTAGCAGAGAGAGCAAAGGCTTTTGCAACAGAGAATAAAAAAAAGAGCAAACTTGGAAGCTAATGCTTACTTGTCAATCATTTTTATCTGTAACGTAAAAATACAGTACACTAAATAAATTTATTATGAATATTCCAAAACGTAAAATTACTGGAAGTTTAATATTTCAATGTCACACTTCAAAATAATTTTGAACATAGCTATAAAGATTTAATACTAAAAAAAAACCACCAGTTTCTTTGAAGCTTTCCATTAAACTTGCATCTACCCTACTTCTGGGCAACTTGCAAATCTCACTCACTCTCAAAACTCGCTACCATCAAGTTGATTGAGACGCACAGCGAATGTATGAGACATGGTCGACTGCTGGGGGGTTTCTGAGACTGTCTATACAGGCGTAGAAAGCCTCAACCTTCTCAAGTGGAGTAGCAGGTGGTTCTGACCTTCTGGCCCAATGCATAACCACTGTACCACCAGGACTCATTATTAAATTTCCAAGAGTGTCTCCCAACAGTTTCAGAAATTAATCCTACACAGACTATTCAGATAAAACTATTTGGATAAAACAAACATTGTTAAAAGATAGAGCTTTCGCCACACTCCAATTTACACATCTAAAAGTAGTCTATTAAAAATAGTTAGCACTCGTGAGTAGCTGTGTGTGTAGCTATGTTTTTTAACATATGTGTATGCATGTGTGTATATATACATACGGAGGAGCCCTGGTGTCCTATGTGTTGGGCTGCTAACCACAGGGTAGTTGTTTGAAACCAACAATTCCACAAGAGAAAGACAAAGCTGAGAGAGAGCGAGCGAGCGAGCGAGGAGGCTTTCTGCTCTTGTGAAGAGTCACAGTCTCTTAACCCGCAGGGACAGCTCCATCCTGTGCTGTCGGGACCCTCTGACTGGACAGCAGTGAGCGTGATTTGTTTGAGCATGTGCACGTACCACACACCAGAGGGCTTCAAAACTTTGGTGGAAAAGTAGAATCAAAAGGCAATGGCACTTTTCCATAAACTTTAAAAGCCCCCTTGTGTGTATATGTATTTTCTTAAGGTTTCTTTAGCCTGAGTACCTGAGTTAAAAATGCAAGACTTGGGAAATTTAAAGTTATGAAGTAATCATGTTCTTTACTAAGGATTGAAATCAAGGTATGAAACTGAGTCACCTGATCAATATATCAGTATATGTGTGTGTGGGTGGGGGATTAAAAAATTATGGGAAAAATGGAACTAAAAGGGAATTTTCCCACAAACTTTTTGAAGCCCTCTTGTACATGGTACTTTATTGGATGTCTTGTTACTTAACATACGCATGTTAATTCACATGAACTAAGTCCTTCGAATGAACCAAAAGGTAGAGACAAAAAGAGATCTTTCTTTCAGTTATCTTTACAATATTTAAAAAATTTTTTAATTCAGTTATTTTCTTGGAAAGAAAAACTGGTAATATTTTATTAACAGTCTTAAAAAGAAATAAGCAAATAGGTACTATCAACGAAATTTGTTGAGCAACAATGAAAAGCAAATGGCATGATTCTTAGGCAACTGTCTGACAGACTATTAAAACTACAGTGTGAAGTGACAAGCAGAGAGGGGCCTGTTTACTAATCTGAGCCATTACTGAACAGCACACTGTGGGAGAAGGCAGTAAGGTAACATACCTGGTGAACCTGAATTTCCACTTTAAGAGCCTCCTGTAGAGTCTGCAACTCCATCCTCTACTGTCTCCACTTTCTGCTAATTCTCTAGTTTCTCCGTTTAAAATAACCAACTCCTCTTCTCACTGCAGCTGTAGAGATCATAAAATGTTGTAGATGGTTATGTTGGGCATAAAGAAAATATTCATGTCAAATGAAATAAATGATGTTAATTAAAAATAGTTGACCTTCTAACTTAACTCAGGGCAAGAAATTTCCCAAATAGATTTTTTTAAAAAATCAGTACACAAACTTTCTGGGTTTTATTCTCTGAGCATTCTGCTAAAGGAAGAGGGGAAGCAATGGGCTGGATCTGGTCATAAAAACATCTAGGCAATGCTCAGCACCATGTGACCTGTTGAGGACACAAGCCACCTTCTTCCTAGCAGGGTTCAGTCTAGCAGGGGAGACTGTCACCATCCAGGACGGGTGGTGCTTATAAAGAGACTACACTACAACGTGGTCACACATTTTTAAACATCACAGAGTGAACTGGACAGTTCCGTGCCTCTCCGAGGTTAAAATGGGCCAAGGCACTTTCCTTAATACAGTCTTACCCTGTTTTTAAAATGAGGACACTTAAAACAAGGAAATTCTGACACAATTTAAAATCTTACATATAGCAAATTAACACTTAACACAGATTAAAACAGTGCAATGTATCCTCAAAGTCCTGGCTATTTTAAGACAAATGTATTGTGCACAACAACAGGTGACAGAGTCTCGTAACTGAACATGCTTCCAGTTTCACAGAGAAATGCAGCTTCTTCCAAACCCATGCAGGCATCTCTTTGACTGTCTCTGGAGATTATGTGCAAGTGTACATCTGATGTTCTCTGCGAATGTGATATTCTGCCCGACCTTCCTTTCCTCATCTGCTCATCACTTGAGAAATCCACTGCTGTCAAGTTAATCCTGCCTCGTGGGTTTTCGTAACTGTGAGCATCATGGAAGCACACTGCCAGACCTTCCTTCCACGGCACCACTGGGTGAGTCTGAGTTGTCATCCTTAGGGGAGTGGTTGGCAGCAAACCACTTGCACCACTCAGGGCCACCCCATCTCTCCCTCCATTTCAGTGGGCTTAATGGCTAATTTCTCCTTTCGTGTCTTTCTTGAGTGCGGCCTTCATCATGCCTTTAGGCACTCTCCTGATGGAAAAGTTGGTTTGGGCCTGAATGAATTTAAAGTTTACTTCAAATCTCTCTTCTTGGCACCTATGACATCTGTAGTGATAGCCGCTTTCCAACATTCTTGTAAACAGAACCACCCAAAACCAAACCTGTTGCTATCAAATGGACTCCAACTCACACAGAGACCCTACAGGGCAAGGTGGGACCTCGGAAAGAGGACTCTCCAGGCTGCAATCTTTTAAGAAGCAGTCTGACACATCTTCCCCTGGTGGAGCAACCAGTGGGTTCAAATTGGTGACCTTTTACTTAGCAGCTAAACCCCCTTTAAATAGCCTTTTAAGGAAGTTAGTAGAACCACTACTCTTCAAACCAATGATCTTCACACTTTCTAAAAACTATTTGCCTGTGCATAAAGTCCACATTCAAGCTAATTTTCTAAAATTTTTTTAAAAACAGATTTAACAATTAAAATGGAATCATTAACTACACAATGCATTCTTCTGAGTATCACTTTTCATTATATTTGCTTAATTTCACTAGGCTTAAAATATCTGAGGCAATCTTTCCCTGGGGACTAACTGTATACTGCTATGTAATAACAAAACAACCTGACCTTTAAAAAAAATCCTAAGGCTACATTTTTTTTTAAATGTACATTTGTGAAGGGTAGGGAGAAGATTACAGCAGTCCTGGTAGGTTGACAGGCAAGCATTTGCCTGAAGACAAAGAGCCGCAGTTCAAAACCACCAGTGGCTCTGCAGAAGACGAGACAGGGCACTCCGCTTCTGTAAAAGTGCCCCAAACCCAAATGTACTGCCGCAGAGCATATTCTGATACCTAGTGACCCTACAGGACAGGGTGGAACTGCCCCTACTCTTTAGTTGGGGATAGAAAGCCTCATCTTTCTTCTGCTCGTTGGCTGATGGTTTCAAATTGCTAACTTTGGGGCTAGCAGCCCACTATTTGTAACCCACTCCGCTAGTAGAGCTTCCTTCTGTAACGATTAGAGGCCAGGAAATCTATGGAAGCAGTTCTACTCTATTCTATAGAGTCACTCAGAGTTGGAATAAACTTGATGGCACACAACAATACAGCACCACCATGGGAAAATTACTAGAGAACAACACTGTCAACCAAATGATTTTATAAAGGCAATAAATTTGGAGAGAATTTAGGAAAGGAGGACGTTGTGATGAAGAAAGTGAAATCCTTCATGGAAAATAATAGGTTACAAGAATCAGGCATGTTATTTTTAACTCATTATTTTACAACTTTACAAAATTATTATAAATAAAACATAGTAAAATAATCAAAGTGCTGACTGAGACCAAGAATGAGAACCCAAATCCACTGCCATCAAGTTGATTCTGACCCACAGCAACCCCGTATAAGGTTTCGGAGCCTATAAGTCTATACGTGGGGGCAGGAAGCATCATCTCTGTTCTATCATTGACCTTTGCAGTTAACAGTCCAATGCTTACCTGACATTGCCAAGTGGGCTCCTTTCTCGTTATAATTAGCTTATTCTAAATACAACCACAAAGATAAAACTATATAGTCACTTTAAATTTTAGGTACTAAAACAATCTCCCTACTCAAATTCCTGATTTCTCTGTTTTTACTGAAAACACACTATTCAGTCAATTCCAATTGATCTGGACCTGTCACAGGAAGCAGAACTGTCCACAGGGCCCCCAAGGCTGTCCCGCCTCATCCTTCTCCCACAATCCTAGGTGGCCCAATGCCTGAACCACTTGAAAATAGGACTTAACTTAATTTTAATTTTTCCTAAAATATGTAGCAAGGTTCTATCAGAAAGATGTGTTCAAAAACAATTCCTTATAATTTTTGTCAAATTAAGAATCATTTTAAAACCAATGGAGTATTTTCAGTAGCAGAAAGTCGTTTTGTAGTAGTAACATATAACACTGTAGTACAATTCAGTTAAAATAGACTTTGAAATAAACAGCAGGTTGAAAATACAGAGATCCTTCAACAGCATGACCAAGGGTGACTACAGTTTCTATGGAGAACTCACAGGAGGACCACAGACATGAAAGCTGGTCACCCTCGCTACAGTCGTAGAGTGTGCATTAAGATGTTTTGAGGATGGGACTGACAAAGGTTTGCCAAAACATGACTACTCCGTGCTGTCTGGTGTTTGAGTCTGGTGGGGTTTTCATAATTTGCTAATGGTTATCCCTGAGTGGCAGCACCAAGGGTTACTGACTTCCTTCCTGTAGGGTTAATATTTTCAAATTTTTCCATAGTAGATATGCAGTTATTTTTAAAGTTGAAAAAAACATTTAACCAAAAGTGGGACTAACCCTGGAAAAAGTGAACTGAGAATTAATAGATAAAAAGCATCCAAAAAGTTCACACCGATTGAACAAAATATTCAAGAAAATAACAGTAAAACCAGGGTTTAACCTGGAGCTTTAAATGTCAAAGGGTGACTTGCATGATAAGAAGCCTGCAACTCAGGTTAATGAGGAGCTGACAGCTTTTACTTCCTTTGTCAGATTGCTGACTGCTTATTAGCAGGCATGTAAAAAAGTGGTTTTGTTTGATAAGACTGAAAACACCAATTACTTATTTCACTTCGCAATAAAACTGAAGGGTTAAAAAAAGATAGTGACTAGTCATGGAAAAACTTATGAAGATCAAGAGGGTTCATTTGAAATTCTTTTTCAAAAACATCTCCTTCTAGGTAGTAATTTAGAGGGGACTGGCCTATACGTAAAGGGACAAATGATATACATATGCTATATTTATAGCATACAGAAAAACAAGACAAATACTTGGTTGAATCTCTTGAAAAATATGTTGGGGCAACTCATGAAGACATCAACTGAAGACTGCTTTGGGATAGTGTCTGGCATTCGTTGCTACATTTGTAAAAGACGGTTAATAAGTTATTAATAACAAATCAGTTGCTGCCAGGTACTCATACATACACTCCCAAAACAATAATCAACACACTTTATTCAAGTATGATGTCTTTCACCACTCAGCAACCCTAAGTAACCATCAGAGAGAGCGATTCCCTAGCACAAAACAGCAATGTTTGCAATCTTCCAAGTTGTACAAAGGGTTTCAAAGTTTCTGGAAAACAGGATTAAAAAATGAAAATTTCCAAGAATGTTTTGAAGGGCCCCCGCGTAAATGTTAAACCTAATGCTTTCTCACCTTGCAATAACAACAAAACACAAGTACACACACAAATCCCCCACCCTCTTCCCACAAATCAAAGAAACATGTGCAACAGTCAAATCTCACCTTAAAAGGTAGCTGTGGATTCTGGAAAGAATATTAATTGTGCTAAAAAACAAAAGAACCTGAATTTACTAACTCCTTGCATCACCACTCTCAGTTGTGTTTGTTGTTTTCCTTATTGGCGCATAAATCACAAACAAAGGGGACAATCACTTACTGCAGGTGACTGTTGTGAGGTTTAAATAAAGTAAAACTATATGACAAGTCCTTCGTAAATGATTAAGGGCTGTGCTATTCATAACATAGTTAACGTTTTCCACTCATACAAACTTTAGAATGTTTCATTACAGTACATTGCTAAGAAAACCAGAGGCTTTCCTATTTTCAAATTCTCTAAGAAAGACACTTCTAAATATTTTTGTTGGTGTAATTCTGCTTGGAGATATGTGACCTCTAGATCTTTGATTATGATTATAATAACTTACAGTAAAGCTGTAACTCTGACTTTACTTCTTTTTAAAGTCATTTTATTGGGGGCTCATACAACTCTTATCACAATCCATACAGACATCAATTGTGTAAAGCACATGTGTACATTCGTTGCCCTCATCATTCTCAAAACATTTGCTCTCTACTTAAACCCCTGGCATCAGCTCCTCATTTCCCCCTCCCTCATGAACCCTTGATAATTTATAAATTATTATTTTGTCATATCTTACACAGTCCAACGTCTCCCTTCACCCACTTTTCTGTGGTCCGTCCCCCCAGGAAGGAGGTTATATGTAGGTCCCGGTAAGGTTCCCCCTGACTTTACTTCTAAGGAACACTTTGCTCTGTGCCAAATTTGACATAAACCTTTCCTTAATCCTCTACTCATCAACCAACATGTACTCTAATAATTAGTCCATGAGACTGTGTGTCCTCAGAATGAACTCCCTAAAAACATGAAGCTTCATCTTCACTATGTGCATTTATTTGGTATCAGACTCCTCCCTCCTCTTTTGATCTGTATTCTCAGACACACTATATAGGAGTTTAATTAACTATTTTTAACAATGGATATGCCAATATGATTGAACTATTGAATTGTATAGTAAGTGAATTATATACCAATAATACTGTTAGAAAAAATATAGGTCAATGTAAAAAGTAGAAAATTTTGGTATATATATATATATCCTTGTTACTTGTCACATGCTTAAAATATAAATATCAGGTTTTCATTTGTGTTAAGTACTTATTTTCTACTATGTATATAGAGATAATTTTGATAACTTAAAATAATACCCTTAGCTTTTAACTTAACTGAGTGTAAATAATAAATCAAGATGATAAAAGTAATATAATTCTCTTAATAGTACTTATTGAAAGTTTTAACTTATTAAAAATAAATCCATATAAAATGACAACATAAAAAAATCAATGTAATGTTTGTTTTCTTAGCACTTAGCAAATGTTCTATAAATTCCGATTTATTTTCATAGTGGTATTTCTTTGGTAAAGCTCCACAAGGTCAACAGAAAATGCTACTATCCAGTGGGTTTGACAATACTGATTTTATTTTTTCAGTTTTTATTAAAATAGCTCTGAGTTTAATGTGGCTTTGCTTATCATGGGACCATTAATCTGCAGTGGAGCTAAGCCAACACATGATTTTCTTAGACACGATATAAGGCAATTCTGATTTTAGTGGCTATACCTTTGAATTCAGCAAAGTTACTATGCTCAAACCCTAGTGTTACAGATGTTGGTAACAATTAACTTTAGCTAGTTAGATTGATGTTTTCTAACTATTGAATTTTATATATACATACATATATAGTGTATATATATATATCCACTCCTCACATGGTTAGATTTCAAAGACCAAGTTGTTGTACAAAAATCTGTATTACCACAATTGATGTGTGTATGGATTGGGATAACAGTTGTATGAGCCCCTAATAAAATGTTTTTTAAAAAAATCTGTATTATATAATTAGATCACAAAATGGAAGATGACTACATCACTATACAGCTGCCAAATAACATTACAAAACTGCCAAACCACTAAGAATCATGGTCCAGCAAAGTTAACACACATCCTTGAGTATGACAGCAGGGGTACTCTTGCGTCACACCTTGGCATTTGTTAATGTCAAGCATACATCATTAGTGTGCAAAATAGTCAGACAGATTTTCACTATGGGCATAAATGTAAAATGTCCAATAAGATAGTCAATAAATGAGTACTGTACATGCATATATACACACATCTACAAAACTATGTTCATGAGATCTAAATGTCTTTGGGTGTAAAATACCTCTCTTTATGAGTTTTTTGGATAAGGAGGAGTTGTTCCTTTTACACACTTACACACACAAAATACCTTTTCTACAAGGGTTTCTGTCACATTTCGAGGTAAGCCAGGATTTCCCTAGACTCCTCTCCTCCACCATCTACTTTCTACCATCCACACACATCCCAAGAGTTTCTTAACTCGGCTTTCTGATGCCCCGGCTAGACTGTAACCTGAATTTTTCTTTTGGAATATATATACCAACAACCAGAAAGCAAGCATGCATACTAAAATCATCACACCTACACCCACCAATAGGGTAATTAAGTGAATTCAGAAATCAAAGTGAAGGAGCTTGGGGAGCAGTACTCTGAGCCACAGTGACAGGGAGGCCGGCGCTTTAGAAATGGGTTGCACACATACAGAATGCTATATGAAGCTCGGCCAGAAGCACATCAATGTTCATCGCACAAAACGGCGTCCGAGAGGGTGTGGCAGTCTCACAGTAACCATTCAGTACTTAATAGGAAGTTATGGGAGATAGATTTCAGATCAATAGAACTAAGGATTAGAGCTGTACAAAAAAGGAATGGGTTACCTTATGAGGTAGTGGGCTCCCTGTCATTAGAAGGATTCAAGAATGCTGCATATCATATCCCCCTCTTGGAGATTCACAATGCACATTAGCATATTAAAGGTTCTGAGAAGTCCTGTAGTAAAGAAACCTGTTTAACTTTGTTTAACCCACATTCCCCAAATTCTTTGATCACAGACCATTCCCCCCCACCCCCCACCCTACCACAATAATACCTGTCTCTGTGGAACTAGTTCCTCAGCACCCGTAATAGACAACAGCGGGCTACATTTTAAAAGCACAGTATTCAATATGTGCTCGAGTAACAACCTGCAGAGATTACAGAACAAGAAATGGCTGCACACAGCATAAGGCTGGGGGAGAAGTTCTTCAAGGTTCAAATGCTAAGGCGCCATGGCTGTATCACACACACCTAAAGCAAAGGGTCAGTAGGAGTAGGGTCTTGATTATTTATTTTAAAAGATTCCATAAGAGGAAGGCAAATAGAATAACCAGGTAAGAAAATACAAAGTTAACTAGTTTCAAATGCCTCCCCTTCCATATCTACAGCTGAATTCCTAGACGGTGAGGAGAGCTACCTACCTCAAGGACCCTAAGTTATTGAAAAGAAGCCATAAGCAATTATCTACTCCACCCACCAAGGTAATTGCTCTTTGAGAGAGAATTTTGTCCAAAGGAGTAGCCTGGCATTGAGAGAGTACCCTACTCCAGATATCCATATAAGTTTAATTTTTTTATCATAATACACACCAATTAAGGTTAATATGTTTGATGTTTAGTCACTAGACTGCCCTGTGTAATTTGTAATCTTGTATTAGATATTTAAAGAAATGATTAAGTCTGATGATTTAATAAGCAACTTAAAAAATCTATTAAAGTAGATATTAGATATTAGGGGAAAATGTGTTTGCTTATATGCTACACAGTTACATTTCTCTCTCCTTCCGTTTGCCTCTTTTAAAAGTAATACCAAACAACGAAACCCTAAAAATGTACTCTCACACATGAAGCAACTCCAACATCACGTTTAAGAACATAAATGCCGAAGAGCCCCAAATTTCATAGTCAAGAAACCCAGTTAGCCCTGACCTCGCCATTTTGCACATATACTACGGCCATCAAATTTAACAGTTATTAAGTAACACAAAACATAATGGGAACCTTAACTTTTTTAATTTCCTGACTTCTCAATTCTCAGCCCTAACTACTGCATTAAGGATGTTTTTTGGCAAAAAGGACCTCTGAAATTTAACAGGTTATCGAATGCAGGAACATGCAAGCCTAGCAGTATTATTAGAAACACAAATGCATTTGAGATATGGCTATGTGAAATTAGACAAAAATTCGCTTTCACTCAGTGTAAACAGCAGAGTCTGATTTCTAGGAGAGAGCTGCTTTGGGGGTGGGGGAAGGGAATCACTGAGGCTTTGAATTATCCAGCTAGCATCAGGCACAGGATGGATGTCTTGCCTCAAAAAATACTCACCAATTTGGGGGAAACTTGCTCTCCTTCAGCTCTCTAGCCCCCTATAACAGAAGAAGGGGAAACGGAGTTAGACTACACACAGATTTATGAAAAGCCATCAAAAACTGAAATTAAAGTCTCCCAAGTTAAATCCAATAGGAATAAGGGGAAGAGAAGTGTTTTACAACATGGAAAGAAGTCAAGAGCAGGCAAATTTCTACCCCATTGGTGGTTGTTATTTTTTTAAGAGAAGGGAAAGTAGCTGATGAGACACAGTATGAATGCCCCTCATCTAAATGACAACAGACAAAATATATTCTCATTCCCAACAAAAGACCTTCACTGTTAGTGGCTTTATAGTAATAACTTTTTTTTTTTTTTAAATAGTAACAACTTAATACCAACCAGCCCTGGGTCTGGCCCACTTAAAAGGTCTTTTTCCTTTTAACTTTGAGGTGCATTTGCCTTACGTAAGATTTTAAAAGTACTAGCATTTTATAATAACGCAGTCAGAATTTTTAACGAAACTTTTCACTCACATTCTTAGAGTCTCAGCCCTTTAGGTCGTAAGCCATCAATGCACACCAAGCCCCCTCTGGTACATCTCTAATTACTCAGTGATGGGCTGGAAAGGAAATCAAGGTGTGGGCCTCCTGGAGCCAATGCTCCCCAGTGCTTCTGTAACACTAAGCTCCACTGCGTTGACTTTAAGGTCAGAAAAATCAAATCAGGTGGCAACGTTTATCTTAAACATTCTACATTTATATTTATAGCATCCTTTGCCCCCCACAAATTTTTAAAATAAAATCAATAAACATTAAAATCTTCCCCCCGCAAATATTCTGGCATTTAATTATTTAAATTCTATGCACCATACTGTAACAATGTATGTTTGAGTGTATGGCACATGACATTCAAATCCCTGTATGTTTGAGAGCGGCCTTCTGTATGCCTTAGTGTGCTTACTGTCTGATGCTACTCCAAGAGAGTTCCCTGTTCCCTCAAGGTATTTCAAAAGATCCTCGTGTCACCCAGATTATAAAGCTTGGTTTTATCATGTAGTCATATCAAGCCCACAGTAAAATAATTCAAAAGATCCAATTCATGCTGTTAACATTCATTTCCGAAAGAAATTCAATTTGCTGTTCTAGCCTGTTCTTTTCTTTAGCAGCAAGTTCTCGGGTCCATATAAATGAGGATATTAATTACCAAGGTTAGGGTGACTCCCAACCAATGGGAAAGTCGTGCAACAATCAGGAATGATCTGGTTATTAGGAAGTAGACTGTTCATACTACAGATACCAACAAGACTCGATGCCACCTAAGAGATGCCTAGAACAGTGCCAGGCACAGAGTAAATGCTCAATCAATGCTTGTGAAAGGATGAACTGACGGGTGGACACAGGCTATCAGTTCCGGGCTTATCTCCCTATTTGCCTTTCTTGTTAGCTTCTCAGGCTGGGGATGATTTCTTAGGCATCGATCTCCTACAGCAGTATTTGTTAAATGAATGACTTTGTAAAACTGCTCTCATCCAAACTGTTGCTTAGGAAGTAAAATATTACCGTTTTAAAATATAATAAACAGGGAAAGGCTGATAAACTGGATTAAATTAAAATGAACTTCTGTTTATCAAAAAGAAACAAACCAAGCCTACCATCGTGAGGTGAAGCAGCAAGCTACAGAACCGAGAAGACAACTGCAACAGAGAGAGCACCGCCCAACAAGTTTCTCCTTGGCGCCCTGGCGTGTAGGTCCATTCCTGGGTTGTGTGGGGCGCTGATTCAGGAAACTGCACTGGAGAGACCACGTCTGCCACAGTTTCCTACATATGGTGTCCACTGATTTTCAGCTATTGTTTTGGCAAAATCAATCATTTATTAATTTACCCTCCTACTTTTAAATATGAGAAGAATTCAGACTCGCGAGTTAAAGGGCAAGACAAAAAAGGGTAAGGAATATTTGAAAAAGAATTAGGTATGAAGGGACTCATTGGGCTGCGAATCAGATGGTCAGTGGTTTGAAGCCACCAGTCACTCAATAGCTTTGAAAAGATTGAAAGGTTTAGAAACTCAGAGGCAGTTCTCTGTCCTGTAGGGTCACTATGGGTCAGAAACTAAGTTCCTAGAGACAACATAGGGCCACAGTGCAGGGCCACAACGCGCATTCTGTTTAAACACATCTATGCCCACTCCGGGGAGAGAGTCTGGGCTTTCTACTCCTATAAGCAGCTATGGTCTCAGGGGTCACTATGAGTCAGCCTTGACTTGATGGTAGTTGAGTTTGGTTTGGGGTTTTATCATGGAAGTGCTCACAAAGCTGCCTGCAGTTGACTGCCAGACTCACAAACGTATCCAAGTCTCACAGGCTAAGTGACTTCCCCAGAGAGCACCCAAGTCAGTAGTGAAGCTGGAGGACCACTGACTGAGCTCAGCTTTCCACTCGACCTCACTTCCTCCTCCCAGACTGAGCAGTTACCTCGCTAAGAAGTAAATTACCATCCATGCTGAGGAACTGTTTTGGAAGGATTCTTCATATAAAGTAAGCTGGCGAGAGCAAGTTTTGAAACCTAAGGTACTTTACCACTGAAGGAACCCCAAGATCAGGCTCCCAAAGGGTGGGCAAGCTCCACCATTCTGTATAATCAGTTCTGCATGTATGGGCATAATTTCAGTTTTCTGGGAGGAAGGTCCACTGCTTCCATCAGATTCACAAGACGTTAGTTCAGCTACCCAGAAAAGAGGAAGTGAGGCCACACCTAAACCTGCTGCCATCAAGCTGCTGTCTGACTCATAGCAACCCTCCGGAGAGAACAGGGCAGAGCTCGGTATGCCCGTGCATGCAGAGCACAGGGTTTACAAGGCTGTCATCTGCAGGCATGCACTGCTGCAGCCCACTGCTCCTCAGTTCACCCAGCTCACTTAAATGCTGTTCCACCAGTGTGATTCTTACACACCTGCAGCAAAACTACCCAAGTGTTTTCTCAAAGAACCAAAAACCCAAAACCTAACCCATTGCCACCAAGACAATTCCAACTCATTGACCGACCCTACAGGACAGCTCAGAACTGCTCCTTGGGGTTTCTGAGGCTGTAAATTTTTTCTTAAATCATTTTCCTGGGGGCTCTTACAGTTCTTATAACATTCCATACATCAATTATATCAAGCACATTTGTATATATGTTGACATCATTTCCAAAGGGCTCATTTTCTACTTGAGCCCTTTGGTATAAGCTCTTTTTCCCCTTCCCTCCCCCACCTTCATGAATCCTTGATCAATTATCTATTGTTATTATTTCACATCTTACACTGTTGTCCCCCTTTACCCACATTTCTGTTATAAGATAGTAAAGCTTTATAGGAGCAAACAGCCTCACTTTTCTAGTGCAAAGCAGCTGGTGGGTTTGAACTACTGACCTTGCAGTTAGCAGAGTTCAATGCCTAACCAGTCCCAACAAGGGCTCCTCCTTCTAAAGAACTGACCTACGGCCATTATGTTGATTCCCACTCACAGTGACCCTACAGGGCTCAGCTGGCTACCATTTGGAAAGCAGTGGAAAACAAAAGCAAATTGTGTCTTCCTATAACTTAAGTACAATACCAAATGAACACCTAAAAGACAGACTGAGAAATAAAAGTGTGCTTCTTACATGACTCACCTACAAAACATTTGCATCTGAAATGCAAGTTTTGTTTCTTCACATTAAGCTGAAAGTCCATTTAAATTTGTTTCTCACATTTCACACTTGTAGCTACAGGAAGGTAGTTAAGAATTTTAACCATATTTGTTTGAATTTTAAAAATTTATATCTGTTCTTTAAGAATCCATTCAAAACACCTAAGTTGGAGTAAATGAAATTGGTTGTTTGGGGAGTTTTGCTTCCAGAGAGGAATATTATCTTGCTTATGTAACTCCACGATTCACTGCACACTACAGACGACTCACCTCTGGAACTTCACAAGGAGGGGCTTTTATTAGAGCTGGTAAAAAAAAAAAATTCCTATATGGTTGTAAAATTTTGAATGTTACAAATAAAGTACAGGTGATTAGTAACCACTTCTTCAGTACCTTTTGCAAGTATGGAAAGCCTTTTCATGCTAAAAATGTGAACTAAACAAGTTTCACTGTGAAAAAGCTCAATACTAGATCCTGACTTAAATTAGGCTAGCATTTAAGTCACCCCACTACAAATTTTAAGGATTAAGTTTGTAGCCTGTTTTCAATCATAAATTTCGATTAAGGGGCTAGAATAGCGCAGATAATTGTCAGAGGAACTTTAAAATGTCACCTTACCCAAAAGATTCAATTTCTTGCTTTCCCCTAGTAAAGCACCGTTTTAAATACAGTAAGTTTTAGTGCTTTTGAATCAACTCTTGCTAACTTCTAATAGAAAGCTAAGTCTGAGATAAATTTACACGAGGATACATGGTTCTGAGACAAACCAGATCCCTCTTACCTCTGAGGGACATCCCTCCAGCACTTCCCCTTTACTCTCAAGAAGTATCCATTTTTCCCTCGTTGCCCCGTCACACCCTTGCTCCCATCTTTAAAACACCACCCCAGCTCCCTAGCCTCTAGTCACTGTCTCCCACCTGTGTATAATCATGTACAATCAAACTCACTGAAAGACTTGACCGAGCTCTACGTCAGCTTCTCCCATGCTCTACAGAAGCCACTCCCGGTTAGGCTTAGCTGACTCGCATCAAGTTCACCAAAGGCAGGCTAGGAAAGCCTCAGCTGTTGCTGCTCTGGCAGCAGCATCTGACTCAGCTGCTCATTCCTTCCTTGGAGTCCTTCCTTCCGGTCGGGACCCCGGGACACCATTTTCAACTCATTTCTTGCTGGGTCCTCCTCACCTTCAAAGACTCACAATGTTGGATTGCTCATGGGTCAGTTCTGGGAACCTTAGGTGATCTCACCCAATTCCGTGGCTATAAAAAGATGTACATCACTGGGTGATTCCGAATTTTTCTCTCCTTTGCTTAACTACGCACGGAACACTTCAACATGGTTGCCAAATAGGTAACAGAGTCAATGTGTCCAAAACGAAACTGATCATTATCGCCCACCAGCCTCCTCTTCAGTCATCTCCTTAAGTGGCAACTCCATCCCTTCAGGCCCAAAACCTTCAAGTTATCACTGACTCCTCTGTTCTCCACAAGTCATAACCAATGAACTTGCAGGCAGTGTTGACTCTACCTTCAACATTCATGGACTCTGAGCACTTCTCTCAGCTTCACCTCCACCACTGTCATTCAAATCATCATCACTCATCACCTAGACTATTGCAATAACCTCTTAAGTGGTCATGCCACTCCTATGCTTGCCCTACCCTATTGCCTATTTTATCAGCAACCAGAGAGATCTTTTAACATTTTTTAAATGATAGTGTTACTTCTCTGTTCAAATCCTCCAATGGCTTCCCATAATCTAAGAAAAAAGCAAAAGGACTTTGCCAGTGCCTTCCAGGTTCCAAGTGATTTGGGCTCCTCCTATTCTTAAGACCTTTAGCTCCTCCCCCTTCGCCAAACCAAACCAGTCGCAGGGCCTCTTCTCTGTACCTACAGCACAGCAAGTAAATTCCCTCTGAAGAAAAAAAAAGGAAGGACAGCTGAATACTTTTTGCTCCCAAGAGTCTTCATGGCTCACGTCCTCAAAATGTTTAGGAAATCAAGGGTGGGGGAAAAAACTGAAATAGAGACTAGACGTGTCAGTTGGTTTCCCTTCCCAAACTTTTACTCCTGGTTTTCTCCATACTGAGAACACCCATTTCACATCTTTTCTCTGCACACCTAAATCTCATTCAACAACTAGGGTTCAAATTAAGGACCACTGATTAATGGAGACCTCCCCTAACCATCCAAAGTCCCCAGTCTTTACTTCCTTTGAACTTAAGGAATGTGTATCATCTCTCTCATCCATTTTAGAATTCAACCACATACTGCCCCCCATGACTACTACAGGCTCATCTCCCTGACTAGTAGTAGAGTTATTATCTAACACTTGACCAGTTAGTTTTAGTGCCCAGGCACTAACACAATGCATTGTGTGAGCTTGAGAAATGTGAGTCAAACTAGCCGGCAGAAGTCAGAGATGAGAGACTAACTGTGGGAATGTTCGCTGTCTTTTTACAATATGTATAGAAACTTGTAAAATGATCTACTTTGGGGTTAAGAAGTAGTGAGAGAAATAAACGGAAAGAGATCTTGCCTTGGTATACTAAGAAGTACAAAAATCTTTACCCACAAGCCCCCACAGCTCACAACTGTTTTGAGCCTAATCATCACAATGAAAGCTTTTAAATTACAGATGAGAAATTAGTAAGTCACCTCATATCCCAAGACAACTCAAACTTGATCTTAATAATAACCAGTTAACCTCAGGACCAAAATTCTTGCCATCAATAACATCCAAAGACACAAGCTAGGCATCTAGAAGGCATTACAAAGGGGTTGGGTTTATTTGGAGGTGCAGGGATTCAAGCAAGTACCTCCTATTAACGCTAATGGGCGTTCTGGGGGTAAACCAGGAGCACCACGGTGGGGATCAATGCCCAGCCCTGCATCTGTGAAAACCCTTTCTGCTGTACTAACTGTAACTACTGGGAGTTCTCTCAAAACTGGGATAATAGACTAAATTCCCATGTCTCTAAAGCACAGAGATAATTCAAGTAAAAGTCACTAAGGAAGGTCACTGGTAAACACCAGATTAAAAAACATACAAGAAAAAAACAAAAGTAAAAGAACAATTAACTCACTGAGAACATTTTGTTTAAATAGCATTAATATGCATAGAAGGAACTAGTGTAGATAAGTTGCCTCACACAAAAACAAACTAAACAGGACTACAGCA